TTTCGGGTTTCGGGTTCAGGGTTCAGGGTTTGTGGTTTCGGATTTAGAGTTCAGAGTTTCGGGTTTTGGGTTCAGGGTTTTGGGTTCAGGGTGTGGGGTTTGGGGGATACTTAGGGTTGAGGGTGCATGGCTTGAGGTTTTGTTGTGAGGCTTATGTTTGAGATGTGGACGGGGAATCTTGCACACCCTATCGAGCTTACAAGATTTGTGGGTCCTGAGTGATGCAAAATTTTCATCCTTCTACCACACATAACTAGGTAACCTCGAAATTGGGAACAAGTTTGGGATTATGGGTTTAGGGTTTGGGGTTCAGGGTTAAGATTTCAAGGTTGTCTTTGGCTCTGGGATTTCAGTTTTTGAATTCAGAGGTAAGATTTACCCTAAACCCTACACCCTAAACCCTAATCCGCGTGTATCGGAGTGTCAAAGCCAGTTGCAAATTCAGAAATGTTAGGCGAGCGTAGGGATTATCAGGCTCCTTATAAGGAGCGCTTGGGGTTGGTAGCAGGTCTCGTACGAATGGATCCGGATACTATGCTCCAGGGTTTAGGAAGTTTAGGGTTTGGGGTACAGGGTTTAGGGCCATGAAATGTCGGATTTATGGTGAGTAGGTGTATCACCCATAAGAAGCACTGTCATTGCATCTTGTACTCAGTAATGCTACTCAACCCCAAGCCCGAAGCGCTGTCAGCCTGCAACCCACTACTCGCTAGGGTTTAGGGTTTAGGGTTTGGGGTGCACTCCGCATCTGCCAGATGGTCGGCATACATCACCATGATGGAGCCCGGTCGCACATAATTCCCTGTCAGCTATGGTTGGGCGGCCAAAGCCCATGGGGGTAATGTACGTGCACCTGAGCCCTAAGCCGTACATCCCAAATCCTGTATAAACCCTATATGACTTATAGCCCTAAGCCCTAAACCCTATAAACCCTACAGGTATATCCACGAATGCTAAACGTTTTGTTTGCAGGAGGAGGATGAGGAGGGCGAAGAGGGCGCTGAGGTCGAAGAAGCGCCGCCTGAGGAGGAAGAGGTGCTATGGAGCCGGGACATGCGCACGTCTAGGGATTAGGGTTTAGGGTTAGGGTGTAGAATTTAGGGTTTAGGGTTTAGGTGGGGGATATCACAGATACTGTAGGATTATTACAGGGTCTGTGTAGGGATAGTTTACGGAAACATCGGTTCAGGGTGAAGACCCTGGGATAGAGGCTAGCATAGTTAGCTTTATTGATGGGCCCTTAGTACTGGATCCGTCAAGCAAAGCTCATAAGGAACATGCACCCATACTCCTTAATACTATCTCTCTCACTTCGTAACCAGAGTGGGTGTAGGCTTTGGGATAGAGGGTTACGAACGTTTTACGCGTAGGGTTGAGGGTGTAGGTTTTGGGATAGAGGTCATTCTCAATTCAAGCTTCGAGATTGAGATTTAGGGTTGTCTTTGTAGGCTGCTGATGTTTGGGGTTCCGGCACTGAGACATTGGCGCAATCCCAAACTTTAGACCCAAGCCCCCAAAATCCTAACCCCCCCAGGCTTTGACACACTTTCTGTGCTTTTGTGCAGTGTATTTTTGTGGACTTGGCAGGGAGGCATGTCTTTACTTCTGTCACAGAAGTCACCCCTTCAAGGTGTTTAGGGTTTAGGGTTTAGGCTAGCTCTTCAGTGCAACCACTGTTCAGCCATGCCAGTGTTTGGGGTTTAAGGTTGGGGTTTCGGGCCCAGGGCTTGCATCCATTGCTCAGCTATCTTCACATATGGCCCTTTCTGGGTGCGGATACGAGCAACCTGCCCGTCAGTCTATTGAGTATCTTCGTAAGAGTTTCCTTCCTTGCGTCTAGTCTATGGGATCTTGGGCATATAGCCCAACCAGAATTTTTGTTCTTAAAACCTAGTTTTCCCCTCATACCAGGGAACTAAGGGGGCCCAGAATTGGCTTATGTGCAGTTTGTATATAATTGGCATCATGATTACCTTGAACCTCCAAGTAACCCTGAGGTTAAAACTGGGTTGCTGCTAAGGCGCGTAAATGCGTAAATTACTGGGTCGCTGTTAAGGAACTTGAACTAAGTTACTATATTAGGGAAACCTTATTATTTACTATATATACCCATTATGGTAACTTAATTTAAGTTCCTTGACAGCAACCCAGATTAAGGTAGTATAATAAAGAAACTCTAGTATTTCTGCCATACCCACACTATGCTCACTTAGCTTAGGTTCCTTCAAAGCAACCCAGGTAAAGGCTTCAAACAGAGACCAAGCAGCATTCCCGGGTCATCTTCACATCACAATGGGGCATGCTTGCGCAAGCTGGGACTGCAACGTATAGCCAGAGGGTTCTGAGAACTCCAAATACCCTGAACTGGGCTGCTGTTGAGGAACTTAAATTAAAGTACTGCAGTAAGGAACCTCTGGTATTCACTGTATACACCCATAGAATGGCAACTTAACTTAAATTCCTTAACGGCAATGCAGTCTTCCTTGTAACAGTTTTGTGGCAGGATGTATCCCAACAGGATATAGTTGAAAGGGTCCCCAGGCACAACCCAAACCCACAGGACGCTAGTCCTCATTACGATGCATGTGGTATATCTGGGGTATGGAGAGGACACCCCAAACCCTAAACCCTGAACCCCCAAACTCTAAACCCCAAACCCAAAACCCTAAGCCAAAAACCTTAAACGTGACCCCAAACGCTGAAACCCAAAAACTCGAAACCCTCAACCCGAAACTGAAAACCCCACACCCTAATCCCTAACTCCAAGACCAACCCTAAACCCTCAACCCTAAACCCTCAACCCTAAACCCTCAACCCTAAACCCTAAACCCTAAATGCACAGGAAGAGATCATTGAGCTCACCGGAAAGGAGCTTAAACTCCGAGTTGACTTGTCAGGGACTCAGTTTGGGTTCAGGGTTGTAATGTTGGGTGCTGGGTTTAGGGTTTAGGGTTTATTCTGATTAGTGTAGGCACCCCGCCCAAACAAAAAGGGGCCCCTATTTAATGTAGGGGGGGGGAGGGCCCCCCCCCAAACAAATCTGGATCCTAGGTTATAATTAAAATTCAATAGGCGGGATCAGCATCGGCTCGGATCCTAGGTT